TATTACCAGACATCTCCTCGACACGGGTCATGAGGTGGAAATCGAGAAATGCTTCAAAATTATCAATAGACAAAGGAGCTCCATTCTCCTCAAGTTTGCCGAAGCAATTTCTATAAAACGCTTGAAACCAGATCTATGTGTTCAGAAAGAATCAGTTATTACTCTTTCCTTGCCTTGGTAACTGGATGTCTTTTTTCTCCCATCTGATTGCGTAATCTTTGTCTTTATTTAACCTCACCCTCTTTTGTAATTTTGCTTGCCTCTTGTTTCTATGATTTGAGTTCAACTCAGTACATTGTTACCTAACTTATTAGTCACTTTGCATCTCTCATCTGATTGTGTAATTTTGTCTTTAGCCTCACCCTCCTTTTATAATCTGTAATTTTGTTTGTCTCTTGTTTCTATGATTGGAGTTCAACTCAGTACATTGTTACCTAACTTATTAGTCACTATGCATCCAACGCACATCCCTTACCATTATATACATACATTTATTTATTATTTTTTAACTTGAACTGCCTGTGTAAAAACTATATAAGCGCAATTTTCTGAGCACTGTTTACTAGTTGTGAAACTTTCTGTCAACATGTAAAATTTGCAAGTACGTTAAAACGTTTCTGTACTTAAACCTGAAAATTTATTTAGGCTGTAAGCAGCTGACGAGAAGCCAACGAAATAAATGATGGTACCATGTTATTCTGCACAAATCAATGTTGTTCTCGCTTTATTCAAATTTATCAAGGGGAATAAATGCATGAACTTTCTTATCTCCATGCCTATTGATGACCGTTTCGCTTATATTCGTGATAATAGTAGTATGATCATGATCAAAATGGTGGTGACGTCTGATTGAGTTTCTTGGAATCCCATAGTGATCACTTGATTGGCAATCAGGACAACGTCAAGTGACACGAACTGAAACATTGTTTATCCAGTGACATATTAGAAGATAATTACTTCATTATTTACTGCAGAACATTTACAATTGATCTGATATCAAATAAGTGAGTGAAAATCAATTGATCTAAACATAATCATCAATTGCAATGATGCAGAAGAATACAAAATTATGTTGTAAGTTCAACATTCGTCACAACAGCGAGGTGAAAGTTATCCCAGTTTCCTTTTCAGTGCACACGGTGGTTCACGGTCATTTGTTAGCAGTTGATTCAGTAAAACAAAGCGAAATCGGTATTCCCGTAACTGTCAATATATTTAGAGATAGTAAAAATATCTACTCAATGTCCTGCTTAAATGACACTTCGAGAGATTGAACGAGTAAAAGACTGTGAACTTTTAAGACTCAGTCTTTGGGAATATGTCTTGAGATTCTAGTAGATGCCCGCCTTTCTGTCCTCCTAAAATACTCACTTTAGGACATAAATATGGATTTGAAAAACCAGGTGGAGGTGGCTTCCAATGCTAGTGAAACAATTCCACTTGATGAAGAGTTAAGACTCGTGTTATACACAGGAATGTGTGCAAAATCATGGTCAGATTAGGCGTGATCTTTTCATCAACCGATCTCAGGTAAATTAACTATGGTCTTGTAGAAAGTCAGTGGATCGTCACGCGTATTACACATCTCCAGCATATCATCGTTCTTAACGTGAAATAGACACTTAGTCTGAACATCGCGCATGATGCAGTTTCATTAAACGAGAGTGAGCTGGATAAATGTCCGAAATTCTGCGGAATTCATGTTTTTCTCTTGTGGCTATGTATCGAGCTCTAAAAGTTAGACAAAGCTGGATGATGTGCAGCATATTTATCCGTTGGAATATAAGCACGTAACTGAGAAACAGTCGAAATCATGTAGACTGGAAAATGTCAGCCTGGAATTTCGTCATTATACTGAGCCCGAGGTAAATTTGACGCTCATAATAGGACTTACTATACGTAGCATATATGAACACATATTGGACCACAGTAATTAAAAGGAAGGAATTAATCACTGAGAGATGCACTAACACAACATCTGATTGACAGAAGACATCAATGAAACATTTTGAACTCTTTGTGAATAGTAAACAAAGAACAAAGCTCACATCTCTTGAAGTTCACAGAACCCATCGCTATCGAACTTTTCAAACTTGATTTATGTATTTACAAAGAAGCCATAAGAAGTCCTTTCCCCCCTGTAGTATCTTGAGTCGTACTGCTACTGTGGTCTAGAAGTAGTGATTCGTATCATTTCATATACATATTCACCTTGATGAACTTAAATGAAGGAAAATAACAGTAGTTTGTAAAGAATAAGACGCTACTGACATTGATTTCGTCAGCCTCTCATCATTTGAGTACACAACCTGAAAAAGTCACTAAGTTTATGTACAGAGCAATTTAATCGTACTTGCAAGAGTGATATGATGTTGGTCAACTGGAGACTCAAAAATTAATAAATAGTGCTTAGAAAATATCCTCATGCCTACCATACTCATAAGATGGTTTGATCTTATGTTTGGATACAGTGGAAAAGTAGGTGTGCGATAAAGACAAGTGACAGATAGGCGGATGATAAGTAGCTAATAGGTTGTGTAACAATGGTGTAATGAAACATCGACGGACACCATTTTCATGTTGGCTCTAATTGTGCATACACATTCACGTGTATCTGAGCGTGTGCTAAAAAGCCTGGGTCTCAGGGAAACAAACGCCTTCAACACTGCTACTGCCAGGCGTCTTGGTGAATCGCGTCATACGGTGAGCACCCTGAAATCCTCTAAAGTTATCAGTAGAAAACATAGTCTACTCATACTTAAGTTTGTCGAATTATTTGCTATCAAACGCTTAACATAAGACTTATGTTTCCAGGAGGAAGCAGTTATTAATCTGTGCCAGCTCTGGAAAGTCCCTTTCACTTGATTACTTAGTCTTTGGAATTAACCTACTCCCCCTTCCCTATGATATCGGTTACCTGTCTTTCGTTACTGTGATTGTAGCTGGATTCAACATACTGTTGTGTAACTCACTAGTCACTTATTATCTTGTACGACTCCTGTCCTTCTTACACGACTCGTATTCCATTATATTCAAACATTTATTATTTTTTGTTTGAATATGAACTTTGTATGTTCAAGGAGTATATGTGTAGTTTCTGAGCACTATCTATTGATTTAGCACTCATCCGTTATCGTATTTGATGTCAGCTTCACAAGTAAGTTAAGAGTGCTTTGTACTTAAACTTGATTAATTTTATTAGGTTGTACACATCTGATGAGAAGCTGATGGAATAGACGATGGCACCATCTTGTTCTGTGAAACCACCGTACTGTTGAATTATACACTGTAAACTAATCAAAGTATACTATTTATTTATTTTTTTTTTGATTACACCTTGATTCCACACCGTATTGTGTGCGTCGGTGGCACAGTGGTTAGGACTCTCGCCGACCATAAACATGGTCCGAGGTTCGATCCCTTGCCGACGCACACCTGATATCTGTGGTCGGCCTGCAAAATTTGGACTACCGAAATCTATGCTGAAAATTCCATACTTGTACCAAAAATACAGTGTGGAATCAAGCTGAAATAAAAAAAATCAAAAAGAAATATATTTTCGGTACAAGCATGGAATTCTCAGCATACTATATCGGTAGCCGACCATTGATATCAGAGTTGCGTCGGCATGGGGATCAAACCCGTACCATGTACATGATCGGCGAGAGTCCTAATCACTAAGACTTATCCGCAGACGAGGAGAGACCAGAGTTATTATTCAATGTTATTCAAAAATTGTGAATATACATACGACTGTACAGCCCCTGAAAGATGATTCCGTCGATAAAGAAAAAAATTCCTCATCACTCACTGAGTATTTGAGTGATTTGAAACAGAACAAAATATGTATTAGATAGTTGGACGCAGTCGGCCACAGGAAGCCTTGAACCTAGGTTTCGTGCTAGTTGCCACTCATCAGCAAGGTGTATCTGCAACCTTGAAGGAACTCATATCCCTTCTGAGATTCGAACCCGCGTCGCCCAGTTCCGACTGTATTCAGAGACGTTACCACTGAGCTATTCGGGCTCGCGACTGACCTCCTCCCGATTGCCTCCAACTATCTAATATATCATGAAATCAGTGTGCACTGTGATGGCGAGCTACCTAGAATGGTGGCCACATTGCAAAAGCTGACTGATAGAATTCAGTCTGCACCAAGGAAAGGACTAGATACGTCACACTAGTTACTAGTGTCCATTCAAAAAACAAAATATACTTGTCGTCTGAGTATTAATCCTACCATTATTAACTCTATGTCTTCTTTTCAGGTGACAGTGTTTCCAGATATTAGAGAATGAGTTTATGATGAGTGATTCACAAACACTATACTGTATCACGTACGGTACTAGTCGATAAGTTAAGACGAAGGATGACGAGTAGCAAAGCGAATATTTACATGTATAGTATTAATTATTATTAATATTCACGAAGTGACCTCTTTTGATAAGAGAAATGATGGGTTGGTTGTATGTTTTGCTTTGATATAAGAATAAAACTTGTGCACTGTGGTAGAGTGTAATTCCATTATGGGTAAATTTTGTTCCGATAAAATCTGTAGCGAGAACAACAGAGTAAAAGGCTGCCATTAAATACAAGACGATCACTAGATTTTTCACTTATTGGCTAGATGTATGCTTGTTTCATGTGATGTATATTCATTCCTCTCAATAATACGTTGACTTCGACTTGAGGAAAGTTTTGCTATTATGAAGCAGTATTTTTGCGAGCAGGAGCTATACAACTAACTAACTTTCTAGTGTCACATGAAATCAAGTTGATGTTTCGTACATGACACGGTTCGAACAATTTCAGATGCCTGAAAAGTAGACCACTTATTCACTTATATTCACTACTACACACACACCTCTCATTTGAATGAACGTCTGTTATTTTTACGTAAACTAATGGAGAGGACATGAAAACGCGAAGGGTCAACCAAAATCCTTCGAATATTGGTCATCAAGAAAGCAAATGAAATGTAACATATGAGAAGATCTTACCGGGAATGTGAAATCCTTTGCTGGCCATCGGGATGGATTATGTCGTGGACCTAGACCTTCAACAATATTTGACCCATTGATTGCCTTCAAAGCTGTTACCAACTCCCAATTCGTTCTCAGTGGCAATTCCTGTCCATTCACATTCAGAATGTATTTCCACTTGTATTCAGTCTTCTTCATCAATTTGTCAGCACAGAGGAGAAACACTTCGAGGATGGAGTAATAACCCCATTGAACGTCAATACTTTCCGATCGATTCACTACCATCACATTCGGACCAAGACAATTGGCTAGTGCCAACACTTCTTTATAGAATGGTTGTGGCGACTTAGAGTCAACGTGAATGCAGTACAGATTGTGTTGTCTGTGTATCAGTCGGAGTAATCGAGACACCTGTTTGATGTTATCATGTACAGCCATACTGAAGGCTAGCGGGAAATCTTTCTCCTCCATCGATGGTTGAACTACATGTCCTTGGAATAACTTGAATTCACGACAAACATCGGTATTGGATAAATTTGAATAGTTCACGTCCCATTTCACCTGAATACTTTCAATAACTGCTTGACTATAATTTTTCACAGGCTTTCTGAAGAAATATTCGCATACACTTTTGAGTTCACCATAGCGTTCTAGTGATAATCGGTGCTTATTATCTCTGGAATCAGTTAGGAAAGAAGATAAACAATATAATATGAATAACAATGTAAGTAAATAGATCCCACGGATCGCATTTTTTAGTGGATAGCCATGACAGAATTTAGTTAAGCATAACTTCATTCGCGAGATAATTATTTCAAGTTTATGTAAATACACCCTTTTCCACTATACAGTAAGCAGTTGATTAATTAGGTATTAACATTAATTCAAAAGTGGATTTCAAGTCTAGTTGAGAACTAGGTGATCTTTATACTTTGTGGAGACCAAATCATATTCATTTACGTGTTGAACACTCCGTATTGAGCAAATTTTTTCAAAGAAATATATTGAAATATGATTGGATAATGAAAACGGTGATAGATATCGTACAAATAAATAAATCTAAATAATGAGTATTAAAAGGAATTAACTAATTACTTACTTCACTAACTAACTAACTAATTAACTAACCAACTAATGAGCCAAGTATTTGACCTAATTTAATGTTTTTAAAATGTTGAAAAATAAGCACAAAAGCTAAAATAAATACATAAGTAAGCCTCAATTTGAAATTCTACTAATTTCACTAAACACCATAGATATACTACTAAAATGTGCACAGATTTAATTTTAGAAAAAAATATCAAGTGCTTTTTATTACTAGTAGACAAAAAATCACAACACAGGGTCACCTTTTCATCGGCTGGTCAATAACCAGTCAATGTAACCAGTGTTACAGTGTTTAGTCCTTTCGACCTAACAGAATTCGGACATCCAACTTTGCAGTGTGAGCATTCAGGTAGGAGACACACCAGTAGGGTAAAGTTCAAAGTAAACAGCTGAAAGCCTTTTGAATTATGTGTCATGTTAACTGGCACTGTTCACCAACATTTATCTACAGCTGAAACAGGGCTGGAGTGTCATCAGATATCCAAACCCACAACATCCATCGCCACAGTTTCAGACAGTATCACTGAGTTTCTGACCTCGTGCATGATTAGCCAATAACGAGTAAATATCTGTGCTGACAGAATTTCGTGCTCACAAAATCATATCAGTGTTATTTGTACAATGTAATTGAGTCTGAATGGTCATAATTGGCTACGATTTTTCAGTCATATCTAACCGACAGTTTCAAGTTATTATGAAAACTAAGTACACTGCTTCCTGTAAACTCACCTTCCATCATCATGTTGCATTATTCTGTGTGGTTTGATGAAGTCTGAGTGGAATAATGTATATACCAGTATAGGTAGGAAAGACTCCTAAGAATGACAGACAGTAAGTACTACAGTCAATCTTCTCAATAAGATACTAAACGCACTTGTTGTTTAAGATGATAGGAGCTGTCTAATACCGAATTATCAAATGGATCCTATTTGATAATTCTGAAAATTAGATACGCTGAAATGCTGTTATACTTCAACTAACGATATATTCACTTTCTTTGAATGAAAAACTTTATTCATCATTTAGGAATGAACTGAACCTAATAAGCAAATCGTATTTATGACAATGAACGATTAATAAGGTCGGGTATACATTTGACATCCTCATAAATCCTTCTTATATTTAAACCGAAGTAATAGCACTGATTATATTACTTTTAGAGTTTAACAGTTAGAAGTGAAATTGTTTAGCATGGTTGACATTATTGACGATCATTCATTGTGGCTATTTAAACCGTATTCAGTAAATTCTGACTATTGAACACATTTCCACTGTATATTTTTGATTGTACACTAGTAACCAGTTTAATGTGTCTAGTCCTATCTTCGGTGCAGACTGAATTCTATCAGTCGAGCTTGCAATGTGGCCACCATGCTTGGTGGCTTGCCATTACGGAGCACTATAAAATGTTGGTATTAGATGGTTAAAGGCAATCGGCCACAAGAAGCCTTGGACCTAGGTTTCGTGCTAGTTGGCACTCATCAGCAAGGTGTATCTGCAACCTTGAAGGAACTCATCTTCATTCTGAGACTCAAACCCACGTCACCCAGTTCCGGCTGCAGTCAGAGACGTTATCGCTGAACTATTCAGGCTCGCGATAGAATTCAGTCTTTTGGTGTGGTTTTGTTCTCTGAGCTGGATGGTTAGTTTGCGAAGCTTTCATCGCCCTACTGGGTGACATCTTCAGCGCATACTTCAATTTGAAGTGAGCTTTTAGGTTTCTCCACGAGTTTATTAATCATCTCTCCTGGTGGGCGACCTTGGACGTGATTGGTTGTTTCTGTGTGTTTTCGCACCTTCTAGGTTACTTGTATTGAAACTGATTGTCTTTTTGAAATTGAACTTTGACCCTTTGTGTGTGAGGTTTCTTTCTCGTCGGTTGATAAATTTTGTCTATCTCGATGTGTCTATTGATTGATGATTCACTGGAATGCCAAGCTTCTAAAAATTCTCTAGCATTCTTGTTATTTCCTTTGTCTAATATTTGAACGTTGTCCCAGTCGAATTGATGTCCGTGGTTGTCTGTGTGTAGTGAAAAATTCAGTCTGCACTGAAGATAGGACTAGACACATTACACTAGTTACTGACTAGTGTGCAATCAAAATTATCCAATACAGTCCTACTGGAGGTCAATCGCGAGCCCGAATATCTCACTGGTAAAGTCTCTGACTGCAGTCGGAACTGGGTGACGCAGGTTCAAATCTCAGAAGGGACATGAATTCCTTCAAGGTTGCAGATACACCTTGCTGATGAGTGCCAACTAGCATGAAACCTAGGTTCAAGGCTTCCTGTGGCCGACTGCCTCCAACCATCTAATACAGTTCCACTGTAAATTCTATCATAAGACGCCAACAATACGTGATAGGGAAATTACTAGGATAAATAAATAATGATTAAGTATGAATAATGCATGTTAATCGTTTCATTATAGCTGCAACATAATTAAGTTCAATTGAGAAGCGAATGTCCATCAATAAAATTAGAATGGTAGTGGGATAAAGCATACAATAAGATTACTGTGCTTATAAATAATCAACGAGATCAAAGTCTCTTGGAAAAGTGTGGGAAGCAAGGGTTACAACAAGTTAAGGAGGTTTATAAATCATAAGACTACTAAATTCATTGAAAAATTGTTAATAAACAAATGAGATATGAAGCGATTAAGAGTGAACCTCTATCGTTTAGACACCAGACACATCAAGCATGAGGTATAATAAGCTATAATGTAAATAAGTAAGCGTGTGAATAAGCGGACATTTACATATGATGAAAGATGATGTATTCATTTTAAAACCTAAGACTCAAGTTACTGGATTAGAGAAAGAAAGATGTCCTATGGCTTCTTTATAAATGTATAAATCAAGCTTGAAAAGTTCGATAGCGATGGGTTCTGTGAACTTCAAGAGATGTGAGCTTTGTTCTTTGTTAACTATTCAGAAAGGGTTCAAAATGTTTCATTGATGTCTTCCGTCAATCAGATGTTGTGTTAGTGCATCTCTCAATGATTACTTCCTTCCTGTTAATTACAGAGATTTCATCATGTGCTGATAAAGTCTTCTTTCCGTTCATTAAATGCAAATGTTTTGGCTGCTACACGTAAAATGACATTTGATTATTACTGTTCCTTTTGGTTCAGAGTGGAATATAGTCCCTCAACAACACATCTCTGCTTTGTTCTCTTTTTTGCCGTCCTCTTTAGCTTCCACCGTGACCGCCAACAATCTTTCACCTGCTCCTCACACGATCTCATCCATGTCAGCCTAGGACTACCCACTCGTTGCTTCTCATTGGGATTCCACTCGAGCGATGGCCTAGCTCGCGATGTCGTTCGACGGTCTCCTCAGTGTGTACCGATCCATCTATTTCCATTTCCTCCTATATATTTCTTGAGCGATCGTCTCTTGGTTGGTTTGTTCCCACAGTTTCTTGTTACTTATTCTTTCTGGCTGGCCATTTGATACTCAATATGAAGCCAGCGAGGTTGGCAGCTGTTGATGAAAGTCTGCAAATCCCTTTTGGAAATCACTTTTGTGACACGCCCGCCAAGTTTCTGACCCATATAGGAGCGACTGGTTGACTTCACATCGGTGTTGAAAATGTGAATATTGTTCTTTATGCTGGCTTAGTGAAGAACATTTACAAATCGGTTTCAGGTTAATGAAGGCGTGCGTATATTGCCTTTCCGATTCCGACTGGCTGGCTTTTACATCTTCGTCCGTTCCGCCTCTAGTAGAAACGATGCTTCCTGGTCAGATAAGTGAAGGAGACAACCTCTGCTAAATCTCTCCCGTTGGTGGTGATTGGTACTTGTTGTCGTTGTTGTTGTTATTGTTAAGGTTCGTTGGTTAGCTTCATCACCTCCGTTACCTCTATGTTCACTTGGAGTCCTGTCTTCTCCGCCAGTCACTTCAGTCAGTTTGTTGGTTTTCGCCTGTAATACTTCGATCTTGTGTGACATTAAACATAGATCATCCACTCACGAAATCCAAATCTTCCAGAGTCTTCTTATCGGTCGTCCAGCGTACTCCTTCCAGTTTCCTCGCTCCCAATGCACAGTCTCACGGATAGTCAAGTCAGCTCACCACAATTAAGAATATCATCATAGAGGTTAATAGACAGCCCTGTCTTACTCCTGTCTGCATTTCGAACGCCATTCTGAGTTGTCTGTTGTGAATCACTTGACACGTGACATTGTCATGTAGCCAGCCGTTGAATGAAGTTGACAGTGACTTGGGCCCTGCACGCAGTAGTGTTGAAGTACTTTCCAAATTGTTTCTCGGCCTACGCTGTCTGTCGAAGGCGTTTCCGATGTCGATGAAATTGAGGTACAAAGAGGTTTGACTGCGATTCTACTTTTTGCTTCGTTCTGTGATGACGATGCGTAAAGTTGCAATTTGATCAGCATATAATTTGCTTTTCCTGAATCCAGCTTGTTCTGGATGGTGAGGCGGAGTGCCGTGTCCAGTACATCCTTTGTTCTCTCCAGGATGTGAAGAACATGGGGAAGAGCACTTTTCCACGCTAGTTTTTGCAGAGAAGTGGTTCGCCCTTCTTTGGCAGCTTGACAAGGAAGCCAGCCCTTCTTCTAATCAGTGTGTACCTTCCCTTCAGTCCAAACCTTTTTCAACAATGGAGTGTGAACATCTGCCGTAGCCTCTTGGAGTGTCTGCAGTGCTTCGGGAGGAATTTCGTCTGGTTCTGCCGCCTTCATGGCCGGCGTTCAGTATTTTGATTGCATTCAGGATTTCTCCTTTCCTTTGAGGAGTGGTTTCCACTGTCAGGTGGTCCTGTG